GCCAAGTGGGAGGAGGGGGCGCAGGCAGCCGAGCGGGAGGCCAAGATCGACCAGTGGCGGGCCAAGTGCATCCAGGAGGTGGAGGAGAAGAACCGGGTACGGCCCTGAGAGAACCGATCCTGCCTGGCCCGGCTGCAGCGCAGCCTCCCGGGGCCTCCTGCACGTCCCTGCCTGGCGCAGAGCTGGGGGAGACCTGTGGGTAACGGGCTCACGGCGGCCTGTGCCTGCCTGGTACAGGCTTTTGGACCCTCAGTTCAATAGCTGCCACCTGGGTGCTGCAGGGGTTCCACTCACATGAAGACACCCTCTTTCCATGGCCCACATCCTCCTTAAAAGCCTTGGTGGGCATCTCAGTTCGCCACACTCACGTCCTTGGCCTTGACAGTCGAGGTTTAAGTGGTTTCTGAACACTTAGCCGTGTGTGGAGGCCTTCCTTTCTGCTCCCCAGCTGCCTGCCTGCCCCTTGCTGCTCACAGCTGTGGTCAGTGCTGTTTCAGGAGCTGTAACCCTGCAGGCTGCATCCTTTTACAGCTGCTCTTTGTAAGCTTTTTGGTCTCACCAGGAAGTCAAAAAGATGCAAAGCAAAGAAACAAACAAACCCAAAACCACAAACCACCCCACATCAGGCTTGTGTTGGCTCTCTGCCAGATAGCTTCCTTTCTATAGGTGCTGGAGTGGCCCAGAGCAGCTGTTGGACGAGGTTCTGTGTGCAGACTGTGGTGTGTTCATGGTCTTGAATTACTGAGCTATTGAATCAGGATTATTAATGTTTATTGGTCGTGTTTTTCTTATCGTTCTGTGGTTAAAGTTTATCAGCTTTTATTAGTTCAGTAGCTATTTGGCCCAAACTTCTGAGTTCCTCAGCCATCTTTTTAATTCACAGAAGTCTGTTGTGCTTCAGGTTTTTATAAAAGGCAAGGTTGGATGGTTGACTTGCTTGCTAAGGATGTGTTAAGGAAGTTGCTCTGTTCTCTAGTGCTTCACTTATCTTGAAAGTACCGTTCCATTCTTGTCTACATGGGAATTTTCACACATCCTGCCTGGTTTTTCTTTTTTCCCCTTGGTTTCCTAGGAACGAGAACTTAAGGCTGCTGCAGACAGTGTTTTGTCTGAAGTCAGGAAGAAACAAGCAGACACCAAGAGGATGGTGGATGTTCTGCGCGCGTTAGAGAAGCTTCGGGCGCTGAGAAAAGAGGCCGCTGCCAGGAAAGGTTCATGAAGAGATTTTTCCCAAACTTCTTTTAATTGTGCAGACAGGAACTAGATGTGTGTGCCCTCTGCTGCTAGCAGGGTTCAGCCTGAAAAAAACTTGTTTATTAGTGATCTTAGTGATGTTGTTATGCAGGAGTAACTATAAAATGCTGGATGTAGTGGTTCTGGTTCCTGTGTTTCCAGGCTCTTTGTTGACAGAAGAATTTTTCTAGTCAGGTAGTTGTTATCAGAGTTAGGCTCATGTTCTGAGATTTTGCCAGCTGCAGTTTGATAACAGACCTGAGAGCAGAAAAATATAAAATTAATTGAATGCAAATTCAAAATTTAAAATTAATTCTCTTTCTGTTTAGGTCTTTGTCCACCCCCCTCAGCAGACGAAGCATTTGAAAGTCAGGTGGAGAGTCTCAAAACGTTGCTCAAAAATCGCACAGAGCTGTATGAAGCTGAGGAGAGAGCACTAAGGGTTATGTTGGAGGGAGAACAGGAGGAAGAAAGGAAGAGAGAAATGGAAAAGAAACAGAGGAAGGAAAGGGAAAAACTACTACAGCAGAAACTCGAAATTGAGTCCAAGCTTTTTGGGAATCCAGGTAAGTTCTGCATGCCATTCTTGACAGAATATTTTCACACCACACCCCTATCTCTTAGAGACTTGATTTCAAATGCCGGCACAGGAATAATTGAGACTTAAATCATCCACTGGGGTAATTTACACTCTGAGGAAAAGATGGGATGACTGTAGTGTGCTGTTAACATGTGATCTAAGAACTGTTCAGCTCTTCACCATAGAGCACAGTGTATCTCAGGTCAATGATGTTTTGCAAGAAGAGGTAGGTGAAGCTGAAGTGAGAGCAAACTGAATAGACTGAAGATTTCCAGCACCCAACAGGTGCTTTAGTCTGGTGATTTGGTGAGTTGAGATTCTGGTAATCTGAGAATTCAGTGTCCTTATGTTGCCTGTGTTTAGAGGATGGAAGCAGGAAAAGTTTTGCCAGTCTTGCCTGGCCTCTGACAGCTCTGGTAAGGATGAGGAGATGTGCAAAACATGTAGAGAGTCCTTAGTATATTCCTTAGGGAAGTGATCTTAGGTTACAGCTGGGGAGCAGCAAATTAATTTACAAGTTTGGGGCTTCTAAGACATTTTAGAATCAAAGTCTTTCCAGCTTATGGAATGATTCCTGTTTGTGTTTTGACAGATGAATTTCCTCTAGCCCACCTCCTGCAGCCCTTCAGAGAGTATTACTTGCAAGCTGAGCATTCTGTAGCAGCTCTAATCCAGATCAGGTAAAAACTAAAGTATTTTATTATTAAAGATGACAAGTATTGTTTGTTGTTGTAAAATTGTGATGCCTTTTGGCTCCTTATCTTCCAAATATGTTTATGCCACGAGTTGTCCTGTTTCTTTTCAGCCAAGGATCAAGCTTCTTGCTTGATAGAGTTGTATCCAAGAGGTGGCTGTGTGAAGCTGAGGGTACTTCCATGGATAACCATCCCATTTAATAGAACAGTACATAGAATTTTCACGCTTGTGCTTGATAGAGTTGTATCCAAGAGGTGGCTGAGGGCACTTCCATGCATAACCATCCCATTTATTAGAACAGTACATAGAATTTTCACATATATGTTTTGAAAAAAAAGCTTTGGAGTACAATTTATAGTGGTTTATGTGTTGATCAGTGTGGAAAAATACCTTAGTGAGTGTCTAATAAATCTGATTACCAAAGGAATTCCAACTGTTCTCTCAAACAATGCTCTCTCTGTTAAAGGCACGAATGGGATCAGTTCTTGGTGCCAGCTGACCACCCGGAAGGAAGCTGCATCCCTCCAGGATGGGTTCTTCCAAGTCTCCCCACAAATGACACTTGGGCTACAGCTGTCAGATAATTTAGTAATAAATTATTTTAACATTAGAGGAATGTTTCTTTGTAGTAACATGTAAATATGAGAGGGTCTGATGAGGAAGTCTCATCCTCTGTTTCAGTAGCCAGGTACTGGAATATCTTGAAGAAAAGTGCAAGAAATGTTTTTGCCTTCTGACTCCGGGGGAAAAGATCTGAACAAGCCCAGAGCTGCCAAGCCTCTCATGGTATGGAATTACAGTCCCACTGCAAAGTTCTGTTAACAAGTCTGTCTTAGTAAAGCAGCATTGCTGACGAGGGTATTCGTGCCAGTATTAACATCCTGTTCTTAAGTAGCTATTATCTTTAAAAGCCTAAATCCAGATGTTGAAATCTCCAGAAAGAAAGAAGTTTAAAAAAAGAGAGATCATTAGTAGACATGTTTTTCTTCTTAAATGAAGCATGTGAAGCATCACTGTCAAAATAGTTCCTGTATTTTTGCGCGTAGAAACAAACCTATTACAAGTTTAAACATATTCTGAGTACAAACAAAATGGGGCTTTTCAAGCTGGATTAAAGCAGCTGCTGACATTTTACTTCTGTGGACTAATACTGGTTCCACAACATAGAAAAAAATCCCAGTTGTGGTGAAACAAGTCAGACAGCCGTGTGAATATATTGAGATTTGATAAATAAGCCTGCTGGAAAAAAACCAAATCTGACATCTAACTGACTGTGATTTGTTTTTGCCTATATAGCTATTTTTGTACAGGGACAGATCATATGTATAATACTTGATGAAAAAGCACAGCTTTGTTTTGTAAGTTGTTTTTTGTTACAGAATAAATAGAGGAAAATTGATGTATTTTTTTGTTTATAGCATTTTTAACTTCAAGGGAGAGATTTGGTTTAGTACTTGGCATCAAACATGACTCCAAAATACAGGTTACAGTGAACTCCTTGGGAGGTAAAAGGTTCTGATTTGTGTGTCTGTACATCCTCCTGTCCCTGCTGCCACTTCAGTACTCCAAGACCTGTGTCTGGGTTGGACCCTGGGGAGTCTTGCAACTTCAAATAGCCCAGCAGCAACGTCAGACCCAGCGCCCTCAGCTCAGTGACCAGAGGATGCTCTGCCTTCGTAGTTGGGCTCCTAATCCCATCAGCATGTCTGAGGAGACAGGCTCACTGCCTAAGCTGTGATCATCTTCAAACTGTCAAAGTCAGCTGCTTGTCTGACACTGCAAGAGTTTAAAGAGCTGAGCAGCAGATAAGCAGGCAGTGGAAAAGCAGCCCTGGTCTGTGAGGGGAGCTCTGTGGGTCCATCTGAAGGTAAGGAGAACTTCAGGTTGTCGACAAGAACAGGACTTGAAAATGCCAGTGGGTGATGCACAGTTAGTGTACTTCACTCTCCTGCTTTCTGTGCTTTGTTCTATGTATTTGCTCTTGTCTAATGATATCTGCATTAAAATGTTACGTTTTTAGTGAGGAAGTTGTTGAATCCACAGATGGAAGAGGAATGTTTAAAGTCTTAAATGGTGATAGGGTATTAATTCTTAAAAAAACCCTCCGTATTAGTATTTAAGGTTCAAATTTTTCTAAGTATAGTGTTTCCTACTGTCTCCTATGGTATCTCCTATTGGTTTTAAGTTTTAAAAGGTAATTTAGGCCTGAAGAAAAGAGAGGCTGGTAATGAGTTTCCAAGAGTTACTTGCATCCTATTCCTTCCCAGCTCCCAGTGCCATTCAGGTTTCTCGTGCTTGTAAGGCATATCCTCTTCCTGCTAAGAATTTGTTTGATTGCCAGCCCATGTCTTTGATGTCAAAGCACACAGGGATGGCGGGAAGCAGATGAAGTCAGGACCCTTGTAGGAGCTGCTTTCTGGTGTGAGATGGTGTTTGCCACTGCCTCTCTTTTATCTTTGTCTAGTGGTGTTTTTGTTGCTTCCCACCCCAATGTACTTTTTTTCCAAATAGTGGATTCAGGGATTAACACCTGTGGGAGCCTCTCTCAGAGCACAGTATCTGTGCAGTGAAGTACAGCAAGATATGGTACCATAATCTCTCCATATTTTCTTCATCCTGGCTTCAGCTGCATTCCCAGCCCATCCTCATCCCTTAAAGTCATGTTTAAAACCAAGCAAAGCCATCCTAGGCAATGGATGACAGGATGTGCCTTTCCTTTACACCCAGTTGCCACCAGCAGTGATCAGTACTGCCTGGCTCTTGGGAAGAGCCAATTGACAGGCACAGGCTGCCTGGCCAGGCAGAGGAGCTGGAGGATGCTGGGGGAAGGTGGCATTGCCTACAGATGCTTTCACGCATTGTCTTTGTCAGTGCTGACGTAGGTGGGAACTTAGGCTGAGCCCTCTTAGGCAGGGGAGCAGGTGGCCTGGCTCTGTGTGGGCTCCCGACACGTTGCCTGTGTCTTGTGTTGGCAGCAGGACACGTGTGGCAGCAGCAAAGCTGGTTACAGTTCTGCTTGCCCTGCAGCCCTAGGTATTAAAGGCTCCTGGCTTAAGCAGGAGAGCAACAACTCTTGTAATTCTGGTAAGATCCAAGTTGCACTGAGCAATTTTGTGTGTTGCTCTTTGTGGTGTGGAAACAGTTTGTTAGTCCTGTGCTGACATAAGAAACTACCTTGAATGCCATTTCTTATTATAAACTCTTAGTTTTGCCTTAAACAGGCATCTTTTTATTTCCTTGTATACATTAATCTGTGTATCTTCTTTTAGTGGATTGTTTATCCTTATTGTCACAGAAGCTGTTTTTTTTTAAAGGCAAGGGATGGGAAGCAGTGGGGCATGCATGAAGATAGAAGCAGAAGACAAAAACACTCAGGATCTTTGCCAAATGGAGCTCTAAACTTGGTCTGGTCCTGCTGGAGCAAGCTCAGAATAGGAAAGGATAGTTCAGAAAATCTTTCCAGTGTCAGTAATTAAGACTTCACAAACCTGGGCATTGCACACCAGTCTGGCAGCATCTGTAAGGGCTGCCATCCTTTTACCAGCATCACTTGAAATGACTCATCTTTCTCTCCTTCCACCCAAGTTAAAAGGTGCCAGTCCTGCCTTTTACAGTTCTGTTTCATCCCTTTCTCTGGCAGCACAGAATCAGGCAGCAGCAATGAGCTACCTGGATGAAGTTCCTTTCCGGACAACCTGGAGCCTTGATGGAGACTCTGGGGGAGAAAACACTTTAATCACCGCCCCAGACATCAAGATCCCTGACTGCACTGACATCCTCATGAGCACCCTGGTGAGTCACCTCCACCCATGTCCACATCCAGATTCACTTGGGGGGATGCTCAAAGGGATGCCAGTGGTACTTGCCTTTTCTTGTGAAAGAAGGGAAACCTCTCCTACTAATTGATCTCCTCTTAATTATCTGATTTGCAGGAGTGGGAGGAGCTGAGGGCAATTGGTGGTTGGTGTGAGTGAGGCAGGAGTAGATTTGAGGGTGGTTTTTTATAATCTCATCTCAGCAAGAGGATTGGGTCTTTCTGGGAAAGAAGGATAAACTTCAGGCACTGCTCTGGGCTCTTTTCTAGTCTGGAATCATCACTATCCCATTTATTAATAATATTTATTACATATTTATTAAATCTAGCAGAGGTGTAAGCATGCAACACTACCTGTGCTGGCAACATATACATTAGACATATATAATACCCTGTGGCACTTTGTGAACTTCTACATGGCTCAGTCCTGTCTTCTGCATTGTGTTTCCTTATCTCAGTTTTGCTAACCCCTGCCTCCAAAATGACACACCTCAGATCCCCAGAACACATTTAACATGAAGAGTTGCTGCGTTGTTTGTTTTAGCTATTTCTCCAAAGAGAATTTTAAGGCATACATTTTTGCTACCTGTGTAAAGGCAGGTGATGCTCTGGATCCCCAGGGACCAGCTGAGATTGTCCACCATCCTGTCCTGTCCCAAGAAACCCCCAGCCCTGGGTTTCTGCCTGGTTGGAAACATGTCAGTGCTCCCCCCAGAGGCCAAGCGATTACGCTGGCAGTGCAGGCTGATCCTTCTGGAGGCACAAGGTGGTGTTTTCCTTGGGGAAGTGGTTTGGGTCCACCGCTGGCAAGTGAGTGGCAGGGAGCAGTGAAAACAGCATTCCTGGGCTGTGAATGTACTTGCCTGCCCATCTGGAGGAAGCCTTGTTTGGAGTGCTCTGGGACAGAAAGGCTTGTTTGTTCCAGGAACACCCTCAGATTTTAGTCTTAAACACACTTATATTTTAAGCTAGACTTTGTGGAAATGATGACTCTGTCTGGGGACCAACCAAGCCCCCAGTGCTGCTGGAGACTCACGTGGCCTGCCTGTGCTCAAGTTGGCATCTCCCTCCTTGGTGGCTCCTGAGTCCCCATGCCCAAGGTGGCTCTGCCAGATGCCACTAATGAGAGCCACAGGGGGGGGCAGCCCATAACCTGCAGCTGGCTGCAGTAGCTCTCTGCAGCTGCCTGAAATTGGGATGCCCATGTCTCCTGTCTGCACCCTCTCCCTTTCCACAGTAGCCAAACTGACACAAAGCCACCCCAGAGCATAAAGCATCCATCAAGAGAATTGCAGGTACAACTCAAAAAGACTAAGAACTTTGTAGCCAGATTTTTTTTCAAGTAGGGATGAGGCTGGCACTGCCACAGCTGTAGTGCCCATAGCCAGTCCCAGTGCTCAAGGAAAGAGGAGCCAATATGGGAAGGATGCAGATCTTAGGGTGCTCTCATGAAGAGCATGGTTTGCTCTGTGCCAGCTGGTTTCAGCTGCTCTCACCAGCTGCTTCCCGTTCTTCCACAGCACGACTTCTCGCTGGAAAGAAGAGCACTTTACTGGGTTGAGGTGGCCTCCCAGCAGCAAACCTCCCAGCGTCCAGTCACCTCTGAAGTGGTCCCCACAGCTCCACCATGCTGGCTGCTGCTGGTGGACCCTGCCGAGAGCTGTGGGGGCCGCGCACGGGACGGGGCAGTGCGGCGCTGCCGCAGCCTCTGCGCTGCCAACGGCAGCTACGGGCACGGCCGCGGCACCGGGTCCGACACCGAGAGCGAGACCTGGCACTCGGATGAGGACGGGTACTCGGAGGATGATGAGTACTCCTCCACCTCCTGGGAAGAGAGTGACAAGGATGACAAGGCTTTCAAGAGGAGAACCGCTGGGAGAGGCGTGTCTCTACATCCCAGCTTTTACCAGACCCGACCAAAGACATCACCTGGTTTGCTGGAGCCCCCACCAGAGAACAACAGCCATAGCCCAGCCAGCCCGGACCTGAGCAAGCAGAAAAGATCCAGAGTGATATTTAACAACATGAAGAACGAGCTGGAAGCAGCAAGGAGGAAGTTGGCTTCTTTGGTGCATCCTTTGAACAGAGCCACCTCGGAGAGCAGAGAGGTCCCAGTGCCACGGCCGCTCCCTCAGCGCCCCAGCAGCGCCTGCAGCATCAAGTACAGGCCAGCCCGAGGCACGTTCCACCTGGGGAACATAATGCCAGCTCCTCCAGCCAGGACCATGCTGATCCCCCCAGTCAAACAGCATAAACCCACGGTGCCGGTGAGATGTTTTCTTTTGGTAGCCCTTTGCTTGTTGCTGAGACAGGAGGGAGGTGGAGAGCATCAAATAGGTCCCATTTGCTGGGGTCTGGCCAACAAAACAGGAGCAAAGTGGGGCTTTGGGAACACTGAACTCATGGGTGGGAAATGGCTGAGTTTTTGTAAGTTTGATCCTAACCAAAATATCCCTGTTTTTCTGACAAGTAAGTAATCTTACTTGATTTTCAATTGAAACACAAAAAAAAGTAAGCTAAATGAGGGATTTTCTCTCTTTCCATTTTCCTTCCCTCTAATGTATACAAACAAAGTTTATGGGAAATGCCCCCTTGCAGCCATCATGTCTTTTCTAGGAAACTCCATAGTCCTACTGGAAATCCTGATTGTTTAATGACAAAGACACTGATGGGAGGTGCTGGAGCAAATTCTGCTTTCTGTCACCTTGGATCTGGATTTCACCATGTTTTTTAAGAAATTGCATCTCATCCACCCACTTGAGAGATGAATTACTTAAACCCCACAATTAAAACCATCAGACACATGAAAGGCTGGCTTGTTTATACGTTGTTGCATTAGAGGGAGGGTAATTAAGGCAAGATTAAATGCCCATGTGTATTTATACACATAAGCATTTATTCTAGCCATTATACTTAAACCCCACAATTAAAACCATCAGACACATGAAAGGCTGGCTTGTTTATACGTTGTTGCATTTAGAGGGAGGGTAATTAAGGCAAGATTAAATGCCCATGTGTATTTATACACTAAACAGCTGTTGCAACTAATTGCTAATCCACCCCCATGCTCAGCTGCTGTTACGCATGGATCGTGCCAAATACTCGTACTCTGGCGAGTGTTGCTATGTGTAAGATCGTTTCTGGAGATGGCTTTGTAACAGAAACCTTAAATATATTTGATAAACATCATGGGCATCAGGGGAGCTTCCTCCTGCCTGGTCTGCTGCATCTCTTGCCTCCAGCAGTGCTGCCTCTGGCTTGGCTGCTCCAGGATGACATTTATTGTTGGAGATATGACTGGGATTCCCAGGGAAGGGAAGCTGCTTTTGCTCACTTTGCCCCCTGAACCCTTTTGAGCCCTGTTTTCTCTGATCTGTAGTTGAGCCTGGATTTAGTTAGGTCCAGTCTCCTTTGATGATCATGGAGGTTTATTCCATGTACGAGCATTTTCCTTTTCTGGAGGGAGCAAGGTAAGCACCAGCGTTGGAAAGCATTGCTTCAGCCTGTGTTGTTTAACATTGTTTCATAAGCTGGAGCAAGACCATCATCTGCTGTTTTTTCTTGCAGTCCCTCAGCCCCTACACCTGCCTCCCCCCTGCCTGCAAGCCTGCCTCCACGCCTGCAGAACCTCTCAGTTCCCACAGATCCCAGCCGGATTCAGCAGCTGACCTGCTCTCAGCGCTGAGCCAGGAGGAGCGAGACCTCATTGAGCCCGTGGCAGCCTTGGGCTACTCCACCCGCAAAGCCATCCTCACCCTCCAGAAGACTGGAAAGCAGAGCTTAAGTCAGGTTGGTGGAGATAGCATGGTGCTGTGGAAAGCTTTTGGTACAGAAAAACTTGATTCTCATGGAAAAGGGATGGCTGTCTGCTTGGGGTGGACTTGTGGTGGCCTTGGGTTTCCCACTTTGGTGTCAGACCGCAGTTGACAGGGTTTTCCATGGGATCACACATCTGTGTTTTTGCTATAATAAAATAGCAGTGAGTGGCCCTCAGCTTTTCAGTGAGTAGTAACAGCCTGGTATCATTTGTTCAATCTGCTGTATGGAGTGTGGTGTCCTTTTGAAGTACCCATTTTGCCCCCGTATATGGAAACTTCTTGCACATCAGTTTTTCCCAGTTGTTAGATTTGTATGATTATTGCCATGGCTCATCCTGTCAGAGCTGGGCTGTACAAATGCCTTGGAGATTTGCCTGGGCTTTCTCCAAATCACAAGCTCCCCTCACTGGAACAACCAGGGACTGACTCCCTACAAGCATTGAGAGCTCTTTTCCTGAGGAACCCTGTGTAATAACCTATAATTTATTTCAAATAATGAACATACAATCTCTTCCTACCCCTGGTATCTGAGTACATCACAGCTCGTTGTGCAGCATCCCAATTCCCAAGGTCTCTGAACCCCTCCATGGTCCAGGTGGGCTTGGTGCGTTTTTGGTTTAGGCCCAGACCATGACATCCCAAATGATGAACCTCTGACACACTGGGACAACTAACTGTGCTTGAGCCTTTTAGAGAGGGTCTTCCACCAAAACTGAGAAGGCGTCACCTTCTTAAGGCAGCAGACTTGCCTTCTCCACAAGGTCAGGCTCTGCCAGGTTGACTTGACACTGCAAAGAAATGGAGCAATTTTTGGCTATCGTCTGTGGTATGAGGGAAGTTGCTGGCTCTGACCCTCTGGCTTGACAAGCTTGAGGCTGGACCTTCCCATCCAGGTGGAGGATTTATCTGGACTAAATTACCTAGCTAGCTCTTGCAGAGAGAGAAGGAGCTTGATCCCAGCTTAGCAAGAGGGATGTCCAGGGGACTGTCACACCAAAGAGCAGGAGCAGCACCAAGCAGCTGCCTTTGGGTGCCAATCTCCTTCCTGTTGCCCAGGGAGCTGCCTCTGTTGACTGGGCCAGCTCTTACTCATCTGGTTGGCCCACAAAGCTGCTCTGCAACTGAGTCATCCTGCAGCTCCTGGCTCCCTCCTGAGTCACCCTTAGCTGGACCAGCCTCCCCAGACCCTTGCTGGTGTTTCAGGCAAGCGTGGCTGCAAGCTGAGGTGGAAAGGGAGCTTTATGTCTCCAGTTCATGAAGGTTTTATCTAGGCAGAGGGAGATGGGCAGAGCACAGCCCACATTCTTTGCATGCAAGGGTGTCTTGTAACAACTGCTGTCTTGTTAGGAAGCAGCAACACTTCTTATTAAGGATGGAAATGGGAACAATCTGCTCCTTTCTGTGTTAACACAGGCACTCCCATTCCCTTTGAAAGGTGATTAATGGACCAAAATACAAGGTCTACTTTATAACCTGACTCTTCTTCCCCTGCAGTTCCCATTATTTCCAGTTACACCCAGTACAGCCAAGAAAGAACATAAAGCCAAGCCCTTTGCCTGTGTCTTACAAGTACAAAACTACCAAATTAGGCTAAAGCTTCCTAGAAAACGTTTCAACTCAAGTTAAAAACTAGAGCTGTGGGCGCTCTTCGTTGCTTGCTGGTGTCACAGGGGTTTCAGTGTGTTACAATGACAGCTTCAACCATGAAGATTGATTGTGGAACCAGATGGTAGCCAAAAATTGCTCCATTTCTTTGCAGTGTCAAGTCAACCTGGCAGAGCCTGACCTTGTGGAGAAGGCAAGTCTGCTGCCTTAAGAAAGTGACGCCTTCTCAGTTTTGGTGGAAGACCCGCTTGTTGGGAGCACCTGAAGCAAGGACCTCATGGGGTTGGGCTTTTCCAATGGGCACCAGCCAAAGTGGTACAGGGACATGGGAGATAAAACCCACCAGAGGAGGGCTTTCCTTTGCATCACTGCCCACACTTGTCTTTGGTGTGAAAAGCTCATTGCTGCACTTAACACCAAGCAGCAGCAAGTGAGGGAGGAGAGAAATCAGCAGGTTACTCATCTACCAGAGCCTGGAAGTCTCTTCCCACAGAATCTGTTTGCTATGAGGTTATTGGGTTGGCCATGTAGCAGATAAAGCCAAGCTCTACAGGGCTGCCTGCCCTGGAGGAACTTCATGTCCAAGTGTGGTAAGGAGTCTCCTTGAGAGGAGCTCCTCCTCCCCAGTGAGCGGTGAGGCAGGGAGCTAGCAGGCCATAGTATTTAAAAACCTGGGTTTTTTAGTCATCAAGAGTATATATATAATATATCCATATCCACATATGTATATTTATATAAAAGTTATTTTAAGGATAAAATTGTTGAGCTGACAACAGCACCAAGTTCATGCTGGGCTTGAAATGCACTCCAGACTGTCAGGACTAGCCATGAGCACAGCAGTGGCTGTACCTGCTGTGACCAGGAAGAAAACTCAGCAGTGAACTGGGGTATTTAAGGTAACAAGGAAAAACAAATCAGGTTCTGAATGCCAATGATTGTCTATTTTTTTTATTTAATAAGCTGTTCCTTAAGGCTGACATTTCTTAAAATTCTTACTCTGCTCTTTAGCCAAACCAGATTAACTTGACGTTTGAGGGACCTTTTTGGCTTTTTCATATGTTTTATGGTCTTTTACTGAAACCTTCTCCTTGGCTGCAGTAGTGCTTGGGGAGGGTGGAGGTCTGCACTGGTGGAGCTGGGGAGTTATGAATCAACTTCTCCTTGGAAGAAGACAGCACAGCTTTGGGGAGCCCTGTGGGGTGTTCTTATTCTCCCAGCTATTGTGTAGCTCATTTATTATTGTCTGTCCCATATGTTTTTGGACAGTGAATGATTCTGGTGGTATTTAAAAGATGCCGCTGGGAATAGTGCTGTCAGCACTCCAAGAACAATGAGGAAAGCCAAAAATAACTGTTGACTTTCTGTAATGACAGCACACGGGTCTCCCCTGGGGTGGGTTTTGTACTTGGACCTTGGAGTGAACCCACAGGCACCCGAACCCCAGCACATCAAAGGGATGTGGGGTCAGCTGAGGGTAGACATCTCACCAGGATGGGCTCTGCTTCACCCCCAGCTTGGAGGTCATCACTTTGTATCTCAGATGGTTCAGATGTTTGGTTTGCTCCTTGTCCTCCCTCCAGCTTGTTCCTGTTCCCACCTTGTGAAGGCTGGGGGTAGAACCAAGACCTTGTCTTCTCGCAGTGGGAGTCCTGCTGATGGACAGACTGCCCTGGCTGAACATCAGATGGGCAGCCAGGAAGACAGTTGCATCCCAGGTCCTCCCCAGAAGCATATCCCTGGAAGCTGGCACAGTGGGCTCCTGAATCCACTTGCACCCATGTCTGTGCGGTTTGATTAACCTTGGTTGTCTTCTTCTGCAGTTCCTGAGCTACCTGAGTGCCTGTGACCGGCTGCGGAAGCAGGGCTATGAGGAAGGGCAGGTGGAGGAGGCCATGGAGATGTTCCAGTACTCGGAGAAAAAGGTCAGAGTGGGACAGCACAGCTGGGCCCTTTGTGCTGTGTCCTCTGGGGTTGCTTTACCAGCCCCACCAACGTGGGGCTGCACGTTCCCCTCCTCCATCACCTTGCCCAGCAGGTCAGACTCATTACTCTGCAAACAGCAAGTCCTCACTTGTGGCAGACCCTCTTAGGACCCCCTGGGAAGGACACCTGCTCTGTTCTCCATCCATCCTAACTCCCAGCTGTGCAAGCACAATTCTCACTCAGCCCCTGCATGGGGAGTCTCCCAACCCAAGCCTAGCACGCTTGCTACCTCCCTCCTGATTCCCTCTTTGTATCCACCCCCCAGGAAGAAGAGCCGTGGTGGCACTCAGGGTGTTGGTGTCCATCACCAGTCCCTCCTGAGTGTAGCAAAGAGCTGGGGTGGGAGAAAAGCAGCTGGAAATTTGGGCTGGGGTGTTTGCAGTGATGCTGTTGGCACAGATGGCTGGCTCACTGCTTAGAGGTGTGGCAGCAGGAGGGTGTCCAGGTCTCAGTGTCAGCCAGGGGGTTATTTATTGAGGACACAGCTCCAGGGGGTGTTGTGGTGCTGGGGCCCAGCCTGAGCCAGGGGGGAAGCCAGACAAATGAATTCCAGCTTACACTCACTGCCTGTCCCCAGTCTCTTTATAATGCAGGCAAACACTCGCATGGAATTCAGATTAAACTTGATAAGGAATAAGTGAATCTAGAGACTTTATGAAATGTTTCTTATTAAAAAAGCTGGTGTAGGGGCACACTTGTAGGTGCTGGCAGTGGTACCTGTGCCCTCGCTCTGCTCTCAGCCATGGCACCAGCAGTGCCCTTCAGCAGTAATACAACCCGGCCAGGGGGCCTGGCTGCAGCCTCGTCACCTGATGCTGGTCCTGCTGCAACTCCACGATAAATCCAGCCCTAAAACCCCACGATAACATCACTCCTTTCTCTTCCTTCTTCCTCCAGGCAGCTGAATTCTTGCACTTGTTGGCTCAGTTTAATGATATGGGTTTCCAGCAAAATGAAATCAAAGAAGTTCTTTTGCTTTGTGGGAATCAGAGGGAGAAGGCACTGGAAGAGCTTGTGATGAAAGCCCAGTGACCAGCATTCTGGACCCCAGTCACAGCTTCTCCTCTCCAGACGAGACCACCAAAGGCCTTGGGTGGGTTGACACTTGCTCACCACAAACCTGCAGAACACCACCGTGATGTCTCAGCTCGTTTCATGGACATCCATCACAAGTGTGTTCATCACTGTACTAGGGCAAAGGCTTTCTAGCAGGAGTGTTTCTCTCTCCACCCGCACTTCTCCACCCTTGATCATCTCAGCTGTTCAGATCAGATGCAATTAAGATCTGAACCACCTTCGGCTTAGATTTTGCAAAACTCAAACCAGAGTTTTTCCCCTCCGCCTGGGGATATGGGTATTGTGTTTTCAACTGCAGTCAAATGTGGTTTCTTAAAAGGATTGTATAAGTTCCCAGAAGATATTGTTCTTACAAAAACTGAAGGCTCCTGCAGAAACATTTGGTGGTCCTTGCTTGGGAGAGTCTCAGCTGACTTAGTCATGGTTGAATATTGTAACTGAAATCCAGCCTGATCACATTAGCTTCTCCTTTTAAACCAGAAACTTGAGCTACATACACAACTCTGTGAGGATGAGGAAAGAAAACAGGCTGCCCTTGCTCTAGAAATACATGGAATTTTATCCAGTGCAGTGGAAAATGTCTTATGCAAGGATTTGTGCTCGGGGAACATCATGAAATCAACAGAGACGGGGAGCAGCTCGGCTGCCCTCGTGCTCTGCCCAAATCAGGAATATTCAGGGGAGGCTTCCCTAAACTGTGGAGACAGTGGCTCCAAATGAAGTTAAGCAGAAATGTCACAATCAAGAAAATCTGGATGCCTAAGGGACTTTTTGTACCTAACTGAAGGACGGAGAATGGGAGATGCAAATCACCTTATGGAGTGTGTTTCTTGGCTTGGCAGTGGAACACTGGACAGGGTTTTCACAGAAAAGTACATTATTTTCTTCTGAATTAGATACAGATGTAATTTCTTCGAGTAAAGATGGTTGGAGGGGTTGTTCTGAAATGTATTTGTGTCTTTCCCTGTGAAAATGCCAACTGGCACAACCTAGCAGAGAAAATCCTTAATTAGTTGCATTAGTACCATTTTTCCATTGTATCCTTCCAGACAATGTCCAAGCCCAACGTATTGCCATCGAGTCACAATGCCAGGTCCCTTCTCCCTCTATCTCTAGACAGGTGCCAAACACCAGGAGCAGGGTTCAAGCCTCCACAGCTGCTTTCATCCTCCTCTGGATGCAACACGGACACTTGGCATCCAGGTTTTGAGGGACTTGACCCATCCATACCTAAGGATGCTTTATACCCTCTCTTCAATGGCATTTAAAAGGAAAACTTGGCACCTTCTATGGCCAAGGGAAATATCCATGGGGAGCTATCTGGGGAGCTCACAGGCTCTTCTGGGAGCTCCCAGCCCTGTTTTTCCTCCAGCTTTTGCTTGGTTATACAAGCTTTTATTTTTGCTACGGCCCTTATAAGGCAAGTCCATTCTACAGACAGCTTTTCATTACGTTCATCCTTGCCAAGATGATGTCACCTTAAAAAAGAAACTTGCAAAAGGTTGAATTGTGATTAGATAGATCCCTTTGCTTCAAACCATAATCTTTGGCGGAGCAAACACTGTGGAGATTGGAAGGGGCAGATGAGGGTGCTGTGCTGGTGCCAGCAGAGTGTGACAGCGAGGGCTGAATGTTGGTGGAGCCAAGCACATTGGCAGTGTTGTGCCCACTCACTTTGCAAAGGCTGAGCAGCCTCCTGCTCTCCTTAGGGATTTTCTTGGTCCTGGCTCATCATCGTTTCCCCCTGCTTGCAGAGGTAAGAACTGTGTGGTTTTCCCTCTCTTTTCTCCTAAAACTATCTTGTGGGACTTTATCATGGTCTGGATTGATGGATGCTGTGAATGACTCCTCCCTTGGGAGCATCCATGCCATCAGCTGTGCCTGCCAACACCTGCTCCCAGGTGCTACACTTAAAACCTTCAAACTTTTTGCTTTTTGTCAGCAAATATCTCTGTAAAACCCTGAACTGTCAAAAAAACCCAGCGTGTGATGGTAGGGGAGAGGTTGTATCGCTTGGCGGTCTTGGAGCTGGAGGGAAGGGGAGAGCCTGCCAAGTTCAGCTCTCCCTAGTGAGCTGCAGGAGCCCAAGAGAAATATTTTAGTAACAGAATTATTTTAACTTTCTTTTAATGGAGGGTTTAAGCTGCTTGTTCAACTTGAAATGGTTTTAAAGTGCCGTGCCTCTGTGAGCTGCTCACAGTTAGAGGAGGACAGCGTGATATGTTAATTGGCTTCATCTAGGAAGGGAACAGGGATTTAACTTGCTGGACTTTCTGCTAACAAGGATAGTAACACTGCTCAGCTAATGCTGTGGCCTGGTGTGGAGTTGGGTGAGGTGCACCAGTGTCCTTTCCTGTCGCACCATCAGCCCTCACACCTCCACCAGATGCTGTCCCCATCCTGGGGGTGACAGCGGAGTGGTGGCCTGGCTTGGTGGCAGAGGGCACTTGAGGACAAGACACATCAAGTGGGTTTCAGTCTGGGCATGGATGTGAGCTGGGGTTTTCCTGTTTGGTTTGGTTTGTGGTTGTGTTGTGTGAGTTTTTTCTCAAACACAGGAACTGTTTTGAAAACGCTGGGAACTTGGTGGGGTCAGCAGTGGAGGCATTTGAGGCGTCCCAGCTGGTATTGCCTTCCGCTCCGTCACGGCCAGGACGGCACGGGCAGCCTGGAGCCTGCCCCAGGGGTGGGAACCAGCTCAGCCATGGCTGGGTTTGCTGCTCTCCTGGTCCCCACAGATCTCCCAGCACAGGGGATCTCTGTGTTCTCCTGCTGTCCCCAGAGCTGGTGTTGAGGGCAAGTAACCTTCAACGGCAGGTGTTGGGAACAGCTCATCTGGTTACAGAGCTCAGCTAACAGGGAATCAGAAACACAGACAATTTGGGTGGGAAGAGACCTTTAAAGGTTACACTGCTCAGAGCCCCGTCCAACCCAACCTTGAATATTTCCAGGGATGAGGCTTCTACCACCTCTCTGGGCAACCTGGGCCAGTGTTTCACCATCCTCATAAAAAATTTATTCCTAATATCTGGTCTCAATCTCCCCTTTTTTAGTTTAAAAACCATCACCCTATGTCCTATTGCTACAGGCCCTGCTAAAAAAGTTTGTCCCCACCCCTGCAAACTTGGCACTGCCATGCAATGGTGGTCTCTCCCTTCCTTCCCTTTTGCACCTTCTGTATTTCCAAGGTTTGCCCTGTCCTCAAATCTTGGCTCAAAGGAGCCTCTGATGAGCACCAGCACTTGCCACCCTGTTGGTTCTCTGCTGGGGCTTGGAGATGAGCCTGGAGGAGCCGGTCACTGGCTCACACACCCTGGGGTGACAGATGGTTTCCAGGTCCCAGAAACCCCTCAGTGCAATAAGCACCCGGAGATGCTTTCCTTCACTACCCGTATCCCCTCCTTGTCCCAGGACCCAGCTGTGGAGATGTCCCCAGGGAGTGCGGCGCTGTGTGGGAACTGTGCTTCTGTGTGCGGCTGAGCTGGAGCCGCAGCTGAAAAAGCATTCAGGGGTGAGCCTTGATGTGGGCCCCTGTTTGAGGTGTTTTCCTGCAGAAGGGAGAAAAAAAAAACCCTTCAGAAGGAGGAAAAAAAAACACCTTGAAACCCAAGAGTAATGAAAAACACAGAGGGTTTTTAGAGCTTTCCTTTTAATTCCAGGATATAATGAGCGATTTCCCATGGAGCAGAGAGGAGGTGGGATGCTGCACAGCTTCAGAGTGCACTCGGAATAAATATAACCCATGTTTATATCTCTTTGGTATCTGTCCTCTGCAGAAGGCACCAAACCCTGCGTGTGGTTAGCTCATGAGCCCACGTCTGGTAGAACTTCACACACAGCCCATGCAGTGCAGGCAGTGGCAGGGAGCAGCTGCCTGCAACCCCTTTCCCTCTGGCAGAGTCTAGTGTCACCTCCAAGGTGAGCTGTGGAGATGTCCCCAGGGAGTGCGGCGCTGTGTGGGAACTGTGCTTCTGTGTGCGGCTGAGCTGGAGCCGCAGCTGAAAAAGCATTCAGGGGTGAGCCTTGATGTGGGCCCCTGTTTGAGGTGTTTTCCTGCAGAAGGGAGAAAAAAAAAACCCTTCAGAAGGAGGAAAAAAAAACACCTTGAAACCCAAGAGTAATGAAAAACACAGAGGGTTTTTAGAGCTTTCCTTTTAATTCCAGGATATAATGAGCGATTTCCCATGGAGCAGAGAGGAGGTGGGATGCTGCACAGCTTCAGAGTGCACTCGGAATAAATATAACCCATGTTTATATCTCTTTGGTATCTGTCCTCTGCAGAAGGCACCAAACCCTGCGTGTGGTTAGCTCATGAGCCCACGTCTGGTAGAACTTCACACACAGCCCATGCAGTGCAGGCAGTGGCAGGGAGCAGCTGCCTGCAACCCCTTTCCCTCTGGCAGAGTCTAGTGTCACCTCCAAGGTGACACGGCTCCGTGGAGGAGGCCAGGAGAGCAGCAGGTGCAGAGCTGAGGCCACGTGCAAGGAGAGCATCCTGACATGGGATGGGGGCCACCTATGTTGCCATATTGTGGTTACGCCTTGGCAGCCGCAGGAGGAAGGTCTGCAGGGAGCCGCTGCGCGGGAAACCTGCCCGCTCCTTCTTGGACCTCCAGGTGTCCTCTTCCACAGAGTAGAGGAGCGTCAGCATCTTGTTGACAGTGTAGACTGTGTCACCCCTGATGACAGCAGTGAAGAGGGCTCCTTTACTGTTGAGGAACTGCCCAGGCAGGGCTGTCCACTGCCGTGATGTCAGGTTGAAGCAGTCGATGACACAACGCAAGAAGTCATCTGAGGGGCCGTTGCGCATGATGTAGAGGTTGTCACGGTGGGACACCATGCAGTGCCCGTAGCTCTGGTGCCGCTTGAGCTCGGTGACAGGGAGCCACACGTCTTGCTGGGTCTCATACTCGTAGATGATGGTGGTGTCCAGCGGCTTCCACAAGCAAACAAAGATCTGCCCCAGGGCTTGGGCGCAGGGTGCCGCCGTGCTTGGCTGTGGCAGGTCAGAGACAAATGTCCAGGTGCTGGAGGACACATCGTACCTCTCCACAGACTTCAGGGAGATCTTCTCATACTCCCCACCAATAGCATAGAGGTAGCCCTCATGGCCCACCAGCCTGACGTCGTAGCGCAGCTGGTGAGGGCTGGGGAACTCGCTCCAGGAGTTGGCATCGGCGTCATAGCAGAAGCTGCTCTCCACCACCTGCTTGCTGGCCCCGTAGACACCACCCACAATGTAGATCTTATTATCCATGGTCGCCATGCCGGCTAGGAACGTGCTGGCGCTCAGCGGCAGGCAGGAGAGGGTCCTCCATGTGTTGGTCTCCTCATCCAGGTAGCAGATGGTCCTGGAGAGGTCCTCCAGGAACTCAAAGGTGGGTGTGTGTGCTCCCACTGCCACGAAGGTGCTGGGCAGCAGAGTCTCCACATAGGCCAACAGGTCATCAGAGAGGCAGTCCAGGTACTCCTCCAGCTCGGCGTAGCTGTCCCTGATGTAGAGCGCGGCGCAGTGGAAGAGGTCCAGGAGACCAAATATGGCAGCGGCTTGGTAGAGCAGGATGCAGTTGTCGGAGTTGATGGAGTGGATCAGGTACTTGGCCAAGGACTTCACCTGCAGGAAGGCAGCACACTCAACTGCCTGGAAGGTCTCCTCACTGCCAAGGATGGGCCTCTCCCCTGCCAGCACCCGCAGCATGGTGAAGAACCCAGAAGCACTCAGCTCCCCCAGCCCGATCTCCTCCTGCTTGCTCTCCTTCATGCCCGAGCGGAAGAGGGCTTGGAAGTACTCACTACTCTCCACCAACAAGGTCTTCTCCACCCAGAACGACTGCTCTTCCACCCGGATACACACCCGCTCCGGGGGCCCTACCCGGGAACCTTCCTCCTCCGGGGTCATCCTCAGTGGGCAGCACCCAAAGCTCCTCCGTGCCGTGCCCCGGTGCAGCCTCCACCACCCTTTGAAGCCCTCGCTGTGCAGCCTGACGCCGCCACGCCGCTGCCTTGGGATATAAATACCTCGGGCTAAAGATAGCTGAGCTCGTGATGGGGCTGCCCGGGACAGCCACCCAGCTCAGCCCCCCCAGAACACGGCAGGGCTCCGGCCTCGCCAGCCATGAGACACACCAGAGGTGCTGGCTCCGTCACATCTTGTCCCACTGGGGACTAGTTTTGCTCTCCCTGCTCTTGGGCATTCTCCTTGTGGTGTCCTAAAGGGACAGTCTGCCCCAGGGAGGGCAACGTGTTTGCATGGCTGGGAAGAGCATGTTGCCACACTATTTACTTTTTTTCTCCGTAAAAAGTAGGTTTCGTGGCTCCAGGGACGTAACAAAAGTCAATAAGTCGTGGAATGGTTTGGGTTGGAAGGGGCCTCAAAGATCATCCAGTCCCAACCCTCTGCATGGGCACAGACATCTAGACACAGACACTAGATCAGGTGGCTCCAAGCCCCATCCAATCTAGCCTTGAACACTTCCAGGGATGGGGCAGCCACAGCTTTCTCTGGGCAACCTGGACCCGTGCCTCACCACCCTCACAGTGAAGAATTTCTTCCTCATCTAAATTTAAATTTCAATTTGAAGTCTCTGTGCTGTCCAGCCTGACCGTGGGAAAGGGGCTTTGCCACCCCTGAGCGTGGCCACAGGCAGAGACAGACTGTCCTGGGACTGTTCCCTTTGCCAACATCCCCGGGGAGGAGACATGGAGCAATCTGGGTAGCATCCATCCTGGGTGCAAGGAGCCATAAACCAGCCTGTGCTTCATCTGGGGATCCCGGGGTGAGGAAAATGACATGCAGGAACCTCTTCTCACCAAGAAGTCCCCTCTGAGCACTGGGCTCCCCCCACTCCCTTCAACACCCAGCGATGGGCAGAGACAACCCCCCCAAAACTCATGTAGAGGTTGATGGTGAAGAAAAGTGTTACTTGTGTCATGCCACTCATTTGCGGGCTATTCACAGCTTTTTCTGGCTAGAAATCCTGTTTTGTCTCTGCCACGGGGTGCCAAGGAGGGCTGGCAATGCAGCTCCCAGTTCCCCCCATCCCCACCTGCAGCTGGTTTTAATTTTTGATACATAATTTAACCTCCCTTGTTAAAGGTGTAATTTTTTATCCCTCCCAGCAGCTCCTGGAGCACCGTGTGACAGCAAAGCCATTGCCCCAGCAGGTTCCCCCCCCCATAAAATCTCACTTTAGGGGAGCAGGTGAGAGCTTTGCACTTGTGTTACTATCACTGATCCTAACAGGTACAGGGTTTAACACTCCACATGTAGTTCCAATTGCTTTTCAGCATCCTTCACCTGTATCCAAAGGGGGGGCTGGGAGATCCCCACTTCCACTGGGGAGAGATTCCCCATCCTCCCTATCTCCGGGGCTTGTAGGCACTTCCACACTCCCAGACTATTTTGGTAGGATTTAAAAATACCCTCCCTGCATTAACGGGCAAGGATCCCAAGGGCGCAGCAGCGCGGGCGCGGAGCAGCCTGCACC